TAGAAATCCGCAAGCTCCCGGAAGCTGGTGGAATTATAGTACACAGCTATAACTTGTGAGTACACATATACTTCCTTCTGAATCCCCATGGTGGAGAAGACTGGACCAATATATAATCTAGCCAATAATTTATAGAGTTAGAACACCCATCCACTTCTTGCAAAGTAGCTGAATGTCTACGGGGGTTAGTCATAACCTTTGCTCCATGTCCCAGAACCCGTTTGAGCTACAATGATGTCACAGAATAGCCAACGAGGTGCAGTTACTCCACTGTAAACGAAAGAGGATACCTTACTGTTCCTCTTCATGTGCAGAGAAGGAGACTCTGTACTTCCAGACCCAGGAGTTGCTTGGGTTTTAGCCATGCTGTAAATCAGATCTGGGTCTGTACCCTTCCTTGCCACTGTGTGCCCTGGGTAAACGTATCTCTACTTCTTTGTCTTGTAAACTAGCCACAGTCTCAACTGCATGTATGCAGAGTTCAGTGCCTAGCACACAGTGTGTGCCCAGTAAATATGTTAGCTGATGTTATTTTTATGGTGCGGTTATGATTCCTCTCTGTTCTTTGGATGGGTTTTATTAACATGACAATGTTAAAAAAGGATGAGTAGATGTGCTTCAGTGAGGGTCAAGGCTCCTTTTGTCAGTAAGGTTCATCCCAAAAAGAGGCCAGCACAGTTCTCACCAGACTACCATCTCCCAAGCGCCTGGGACATCACGCCAAGTTCATAACAAAGCAAGGTCATTTGGACTTTGAGTATTTGCTGAGCCCCTGGCAAAGGCACAGGCACTACCTGGGCACCAGAGGGATTCAGAGATAATTAAGACCTGGTCCAGCAAGGATGTTCAGTCAGCCACAGGTGTTCAGCCACAGGAGCTAGGCTGAAGGAGAGGCAGAATTCTCAGGGTGGAGGGGCTGGATCTCGAAGGACATGTAGGATTCCCAGAGTGAAAACTTGGGGAAAAGGAATTCCAGGCTGGGTGAATCAAGGGGCACAAGCTCAGAGGGCTGAACACACATGGCAGCCTGTCTGGAGAGATCTGATGAGCTCAAAGGAGATTTTGCCATGACTGGAGGATAGAGTACATGACACCATGGGACAGGAAACCTGACTGCCAAGACGACAGGAGGCCAAGGTTATGGACAGCCCTAAGAGCAGAATTTAACAGGATGTTCTTGCATCTCTAGGCAGCTGCGAGCCATTGGAGGATTTTTCAGGGGGAGGGACCTTTGGCCAACCTCAGTCCAGCAGGCTCTCTTGCAACCATGGAAACCTCAGGATCCAGGGAATTGAATGGTTGTGAGTTCTGTGAAATTGGGCACTACTCTCAGACACCATCCACCTGTGGTCTAATTCTCTGAGATCTGGAGTCACGTGGAACCAGCCAGTCTAAGAGCTAGTGACTGTGCCCACCAATTGTTCATTGACTAGCTTTTCTCAGATTTTCAGTGATTCCAAAGAAAGCCATGGCTTTACCTTACATTTGGAAACCTCAAGGAATTGAAATGTCCCTAACCACCATTTCTTTGAAACTTAGGCCTCACGCTTACAGGGTACATGATAAGCAGGGTTTCTTTCCAAACCAAATAAAACAGAGGAGACACATGAGCATCGGCTATAAAGCTAGTCAGTCACAGTCAAGATTGAATCTCATGTATTTTATGTGTTTTGTTTTTCAACTGGGGATTGCATTGGTCCGCCAAGTGCCTGCTCCCATTCTGCTCCACTCGAATGAATGGCTCCAGGCCCACTCCCAATTGCTGCCGAAATAGAACTGCCCACACTGTTGGGGCATCTTCCGCCGCTGGTAATTTCCATGTGCCATCTGCAGTTTTTTCTGCCTGATAAACTACTGAGGCACTGCAAGCGTATGTTAACACTGATGGGGGGTCCTGTTTCTTGACCCATCACTAATATCCTACAAGTCACATGAAGCTACCAGGGATTCCTGAGCAAAAGCTTAAAACGCTTCAGTTCCCTACAAATAAGCCCTATTCATTGCTTTTCAGTTGTGTCGTCATGGAGCGGGTGAGTAATCAGAGGTCTAGTAATATTTGCATTTGGGGGTTGTAAAAACTCCAACGTGGCTATAAAATAGTGTGTAAAATTATCAAGGAGCTAGGTGTGCGGGCACTAAGAATTGTCAGTTGTAGAAAGCGACCTCTCTGCTTACGTCCCGGATGACCTTGCTCCAAGGACAAACTGAAGCTTGAAAAACCGGAGCCACAGATGGCCAGGGAGCTGAGCTCCCTACGAGTGTACCGCCCCAAGAGGAGGGGCACTGGGCCCTGCGCGGTGGGTACACCATCAGATGGTGAAGAGCTTTTTTTTCCCAAGTGCACGGACTTTACTTGCTAAGGATATTTTGTGTTGTTGTTTTGTTTGTTTGTTTGTTTGTTTGTTTTGGTTTGGTTTTTTGGTTTTTTTTTTTTTTTTTTTTTTTTTTTTGGTTTTGTATCTGTCTGGGGGATGGGTGTACTCTCTGAAACTCTCCAGGTAGTTAGAATGTCTTCCCAGTCCCCTCCTGAAGTCTATAATTTGTTCTTAAGAATTTGTCTGGACCGCCCTTGTAAAACTTTGAACTTTTCTAAATGCTGCATTTGAATAGTTTCTACATTTCAAAATGCATTTTGCGTTTGGTAAGCTAATGACTGAACACACACACACCACGGCAAACTACATGTGGGCTTGGGAACCAGGCGAACCTGAGTTTGCATCCTGCTCTGCTCCTAACTAGCTGTGTGACTTTGGGCAACTTAGTTAACCTTTCTAGGCCTCAGCATCTTCATCTGTGAAATAAGGACAATAGTAGTTCCTGCCTCAGAGACAGCTCCTTAAAGGACCGAGTGAGACTGCATATTGAAAGCACTTGGGTCAGTGCCTGGTGCATAGCAAATGCTCAATAAAATCAGTGGTGGTGATGTTTAGTGTTATTTCAAACGATACGTCCAAATATCTACCGGCCTAGTGTCCATGGCACAGACCCGTGCACGGTAGGTGCTTAGTAAGTGTTTATTGCAGTGAATTGGATTGATTCCAGCTGGTTAGCTTAGTTTGGGGGATGAAGCTTTCCCTTTCTACTGGGGTGATAGGAGACACAGATCGTGCCTCCCAGCCCAGGTGTTACAGCACAAGAGGGAAGAGGCTGTGTCAAGCGCTCGGTGTGTTCATCAGGATGTCAGGGCTATATCAGCAACTCATTTGAGTCTTGAAATGTTCTCTGACACGGTTATCAAGTGTGAGGTTTTTAAATTGCTGTTTGTTAGCTGAAAGAATCGGGTCATATGTTCAGTTCTGGTGAAATCTCTGTCATCTAAAACATGACAGAAAGGAAAGGTTTCCCCCCCCCC